GCTGTGATACAGGTGCAGGAGATAAGGGGACTGTGTGAAATTTTGAATTGAAAGAGAGATTATTTTTCTATTTTGGCACCTGAAGATAAAAATGAAAGCACAGAAACAAGACTTCATTATGAATTAAAGCCTTTTATGTTGATAAAGAATTTGAAATTTGTGATTAATTGAAGATGTATTTTCACAAAGGCCCCCAACCAACATCTAGACTATTTGCTCACCGTGTAGCTGCCATGCTAAGAACCTCCAGTTTACTAAAGTTGCCAATGAACATAGCTCCATAGTCAGTAATAGCTGTACGGTCTAAGTGGAACTCTTTCAACTCAACCAAACCTGTCAACAAGAAGTAGAACGCCAAATATTGATGGACACAGATTCAACAGATTATGTATGAAGCAACTGCACTGAAAGAAATCCCATCATCATACCTTTGATGTATTCCAGAGCCATGTCTGTTATCTTTGTGTTACTGAGAGACAACTTGGTGAGACTGCAGTGAGGAATTAAACCAAGGAATAAAAACAAAAAGAAAATAAGAACGGATAGCAAAGTTGCACAATATACTGTGGTAAGTAAAACAGAACAAATCACAATGCTCAATACTAATATTTTGGAAGTGACTGAAATAGTAAGTGAACAATGGAAAGCCGGTCACTCCTTACAGAGTAATAGGATGTACACTCCAACAACTCTTTATGTACCCGGTACCCCTGTGAAGACACTACAGGCTTATGCACCTGTGCCCATGCAGTGGCATGATACTTTTGTACCCATTCAGATGAAAATTAGCTATGTGTATGCAGACAATACAAAAATGAACTAATGCATACACCATGTAATACATTAATGCCTGTCTAAGGGCAGAACACACAGTAGAATCCACTCTTCCTGCAGTCACAAGGTCCCATTTCCAGCACAAAAGCTATGATCATTTTACGACCACAAACATCAAAGATTGAATTGTTGTATCTTTACCTTGTCATATCAGCAATGTGATGAATACCTTGGTCTGTGATGTGGATGTAATCAGTTAGATCCAATGCAACCAGAGGCATACCTGCATCAAACCAATCAGACAATAAACAACTCTGAATCTTACAAACTTTTGTAAATAATCGTGACTCATGTTTCAGAAATTATGAAGTACCAATTCAAGTACCTGCAATGCAGCACAGGCCAACATCTGTGGTTGTGTGTCTATCCGGCATTTGTAACTGCTTCAGTTCCAAACCTGCAAAGGAAAAATAATTCATTTCCAAATCCAATTCAATAACATGGGCCAATTCTAGCCTTGTGTCTGGGGTTTTCATCCATACACCTTTACTCTTAAATTACACGCAAGGAGGACACAGTTTGTCTAATGATAGCAGATCATCAGAGGTTTGAATTCAGCTATTGGTTATGTGTCCCTAGGATACCATACTATATGGGTAACCATCTATGACTGGTTCCCTGCAGACCTTGTACAGAATCTAAATGCAGTACTGGTCCACTACACGCCGGTCCCCTACATGTCTAGTTCCTTGTATACCTTGCAGGTGGTGCAGTACAGCATCTCCCTCCATGCCTTCTAACAGCATCACATTGAGTGCTGTGAGTTCAGGCAGTCGTGTTAATCGGTCTAGTGCCTGAGGCACGACGGAATTCCTGGCTATGTTGAGAGAATGCAGACTGACTAAGCCATCAATACCTTCCAGCTGAGATATCTTGTTTATAAAACAAATATTACGCAAATTAAACGCTTTTTATGCACTCTTTCATATGAATTAATCACAATCAGAGTTCATACTTCTACTCAAGCATAAAAATTTATCGTGTACTGATGACTAAAAGACGATTTGGCCAACTGATTTCCTTGCGCGGTTCAAAATCTCGGCAAGTCAAAAGGATCTGTAAAATGGCGATGAAAAATCTTCAAAGTTAGACGTTATTCCATTAACTTCCCTGTACTTTTCCCCCTATTCAACTCAGAATCGCACTGATTTCAATGCCAATTGGGTGATATAAGCTTCTAGTTATCTACATGGACAACGACAACCTGCTTGATACACTCACCTTAGCTTGCTCAACACCTAAGCTTCTTAAATTTAGGAAGACTGCAAAGGAAGAACAAAGATGGCTAAATAAACATGAAGAATGAGTTTTGGCTACTCGGTGGCTACTCAGTGACTACTCGGTGGCTACTCAGTGGCTACTCAGTGGCTACTCGGTGGCTATTCGGTGGCTACTCAGTGGCTACTCAGTGGGCTTACATGTATGTTCCAATTCCAAGTTGGAGGGTACATTTACCCTTATCAGAGAAAACCAGTGTCACACAAAGCTATGAGAAGTAGCAGAAGCCACTAGCTAATGGCTTCCATACCTGTAGGTACCTGTGTTATTGCTAGCCACAGCCATAAATTTCAGACATAGCTATAAAAATTGTCCTTTTGATAGCTGAGAGTGCTTACCTGCTAGGAATGGAAGCATTGTGTCAGACACATTAGTTCGGTTGAGGTTAAGATGGGTCAGTTGGCTCAAAGCTGAAGAGGCTAGCACTTTGATGCCTTCATCAGTTACTGACGTGTCTTCTAAGACTAACGTCACCAAGTTGGACAAATCTGAAACCATAATCACACAGCTTCTAACATTATTGAAAATGGTATCACTGTAGAGCTTGGAATGAACGATATTGACACCAACAGTTGGATATTCAACACCAGGATGTTCAAAGTTTTTTACCTATCACCAGCTACAAGCTCTCATATTTGGCTGTGTGCTTCAAACCATCTTAAGCATAGAAGATGATGTTATTTCAACTCCCAATGAGATTTCTGCTCTTGAGAACATGGTATGGTAATGGATATTTTAACATGGGATTTTTGAAAGTCCTAAATATCAAATTGAAATATCCTTCCTCTCCTGTCAAGTTGACAACTTGAAGAGAATATCACTGAAATAATAAACAGAAGGACAAACAGACTGTCCATGTTTGTTAGATAAGCTTACCTTTGATTGAGTGAAGAATGCCGTCAGTAAGCTGTTTGTTTTTACTCACATTCAGATATCGCAGCTTCTTCAGACCTGCAGAACAGAAAGAAAAGTTGACCAACAGAAGCAGGCGACAAGAAATTAAACACAAACAACTTCAACCCCTATGATTGCCAGGCTTTGGAATCCAAAATTTCCTTTGTTCCAAGCTGACTGCATAGTTTCTGTCTTGTAAGTGGTCTGACAACAGTTTGAAAGAATCTGGACAACAAATTCCCAAACAATTAGTAAAAACATTCTTATTCCTTCCCAAAACAGCTGGAACAAAACAACAAGAGAGAGCAATTTTGAACTTACCACTGACAGAGACAAAGGCCTGATCAGTGAGCAGTGGGCAAGCACTTAGACTCAGCCTACTGATGTGAACATGGAACCTGGCAGCTTGCAGTAACTCGTTGGTTGTGTATTTGTAGCAATCTAACATCAAGCTTTGCAGGTGACTACATGTGCAAAATAGATTATAAGGAGAATAATGCACAATTCAAGAGCTATCAATGTGATCACAATCTTTAATCTGTCCAGTCAGAAAAGGCCAGGGTAGGACAGAGACTCAACCCCTTGCATTGTACATTTTCTCAGTATAACTACAATTGGGGGGGAGGTCTGTTGAGTGTGGACAGGTTTTTCTTTACCTCAGAGGACAGAAAAAAGGGAGCTCAGGATGTTTCCCTGTCCTTGATGGTCAATCTATTGTCCTTGGTGGTAAGTGCCTTTGGTTAGTCTATGGGAGATTGTTATATTGTGGAAACAATAAGAACCATATAAACGCCCTCTCGGTGGTGGCGAGGCAAACCACAACTATGTGTTAGTGGCTGTGATTGTGGGTATAGAGGAAATTTGATTTTGAGGGGTCCAGTTGGGTTGGCCTTAACTGTTTTACTTTGTTTGCTTTTCTCAGAGCCTCTATGAGTTTTTATACCGACATAAAATTTAGACACATCACATTTGCAACATGCCAGGTTGACAAGGAAGGTTGCAGGTCTGAAGATCTATGCAGCATGAAATCAGCTTTTACAAGGGTGACTTGAAATTTGGAAAATTGAATGAACCGACCCGAAACTAAAATTTACCCAAGTGGACATAATTATTATGTCTTCATTTGGCCAGTTTTCTACTCCTCATTTGCAGAAATAATTTATCATCGTCCAATCGTCCATCGTCCAAACTGAAAAATTCATCATTTCAAAAAGAATGTCAAGTTGCATGGATTTACCAGGGCAAGAATAAATTGAGTGTCTTTGATCTCAAAGCACCAGACTTCTTCAGTTCTTCCACCAGTCGACCAGCTAGGTGTGGGGGCAGAGCCTCTAGTGTTGTGATTGGTTGGCGTGTGTGAGCCTCAATCCGTTTACTAACACAGCGAAGGCACAGGTCTTGCAGGGCTGTGATGGGTTTATCGATGGCGATAGTTGAGGGCTGAGTTTGAGATATGGCTGCAGCTGCCAGACGGGAGAGTGCTGCAGCAGCTGTTGGTAAGAGAATGACAGGTGCAAT